ATTATATCAAATGATCAATAAACTATTTTTAACTGAAAGCATTAAGTGGATTCGTAAATTCACTAGATTTGTAATTTCAACAGGGTTCATAATTTAATAGTATATAGATTCGTGATTTATTGTGACTTGCTTTAATTTAACGTAATTTAAACTCGTACAGCGACCTCCCCAAAATTTTTCGCATCTATTAATTGCTATTACGTTATCGAAGGAATCTATGATAATTCGATGACGCTTAGTAAGTTTGTTATTAAGATTACTTTGGTAACGAAAAAGAAAAATTTTATAATAAGTAAATATTAGAATAATAATAAATTTTTTTCTTTTTCGTTATTTGAACAGCGAAGAAAAAATCATTATTATTATTCCAATATTTAATTACTAAGCATCATCGAATTATTTCGATAACATAATAGCAATTAATCGGAGTGAGGTCCTCTTGGCATAAATTTTATACAGTATATACTGTAAATAGTAATTTTTTTATTATAATTTAGTTATGATTGGTAATCACTTGGATTGCCAAATTCTTGTGCTATGGCTATCATTACGTAACTCTTCCAGTAATAACAAGAAAATTTGCCTGCGAATATTCTACTGAGGGTAAACTATATATTTTAAATCTCAACACTCATTACTAATCTTGTAGGCAAATTCAATAAGTATTGATCTTCCTAGATGCAACTCGACGTGAAACAGAAAAAAATTGCTTTAGGGAGATCAAACATGGGTGACTGCATTTATAGGGTCTCATAAACCTCGGAACAAATCTTTGTTAATTAGTGCTTCAGCTTATAATTTGTAATTGATGTAATTGATTGAACATCGATTTAGAATTTTTTTAAAGATATGCTATTTTCCGACAAGTAATTGAAAAGTTGATGTTTAATTTTTATAGTTTTGAATGAAACCTATAAGGTTATGTATTGTTTTATTTTTACAAATTTAAGAAAAACTTCCACATACACTTGTCATAAGCAAGGACCGGTAAAAATTTAGATATTTATATAAATTTGGCAATATACCAGTAAGTAAAGTTCAAAAATTTATCGATCCTGTTTATGAGGTTTAGAGATTCTGGAGGATTTGCATTCCAAGTTCCCCAAGTTCTTAAATTACTTAAAATGGTATGTTATGCAATCAACATTTTATCGCCATAAGATTTTATTGTACCAAAGATCGTATTGTGAGCAATAATAATTGGTTTGTACTAGTAATTGCATAGGAATGAAGCATTACTATTTTAGTGTTCATTTCGTGTAAATTAGCGTTAGTGCTAATCGGACTTCATTACCTAATTAGGCTTTTAGAATTCATAACTAACGTTTAAAACATGTACATAAATTAGTTTCTTTGCTAAAAAAGTTGGTTATGAAATATTTTTCATCCTTTCTCTCTTTATTAAAATTCATTTTTGCTACTTAATCCTGTTTTATACCTTCAAAATCAAGAACATATAATTTGGTCTTGTGATTTCTCTACACACGAACGTTTAAGACTTTTTATACCCTTTTCAAGCTAATAAAATGTTTATTTTTTGGCGGTTCTCGTTATCATTTGTATCTTTAGTTCTTGCATTGACAATTTTTGTCGTATTTCTAAACACGAGTTTATTTAGCGTCAAACCTTCGACTAGTCTGCCAGCCATTGATCTATCAAAAATTAAAATTGATACTATTATACCAAGTCTGTTGGCACAAGATTCTTCTCCACCCATGTCAACATTACCAACTACATCAGCGTTACCAACTGCATTAGCGTTACCAACTACATCAGTGTTATCAACTTCAGTAACATTACCAACCGCAACCGCATCAAAAACTTCATCATCTACATCAACTTCAAAACCTGCCATCCAACAACCAAAACTTGGTTTGATTGTTGATGGTAATCAACTCATTGTAAATTGTTCAATCAGTGCCAAGCGTTGTAGGGACATCCAATGTGCTTTTAAGGATTTTACTACGGATTGTAGTGATAAAGGC